CACCCAACCCAGCTGACGCTCCTGGGCAGATAAAGTGACCAAAGGAGACAGCCCTCCGGAGGCCTCAGAATCTCATTTTCATTCCCCTTGTGGAAAAGAGACTGCCTTTATTGACAAAGACGACTCAAAATTACTTGAGCGTTCCAATACCCAGTCTGCGTCGAAGCAGAGACAGTCTGGCGGAGGCGAGCTCCCTGCTCCGTGGCAGCTCCACCGAGCCACGCTGTGCCACCGCACCAGCCTGTGCATATGCAGACCAGACTGGAAGGAGCCTCCCGACATCCTCAAAAGCAGCCCCTCTCCACCTCCACTCCCAGCCTGCTGGTGCCTTTCCTGGAGCCCAACCATAAATCAACATGAATGCAGGGAATCTCTGCCAGAAACCAACTTCATAGGCCGATTGAGGGGCCCAGGGGTCGGACCTGGGTTAGCATGACAAGGCCCCAATGTCCCACTTCCCACTGGAGTGCTCTGCGGCTTGACTGCACCTTCCAGGTGAGCCACTAGATGTCACCACCATTGAGTCCTGTCCTTGTTCCCAGGTCCTGCGGAGGAGCCAGTCTCAGGTGCTAAGGGAAGGCTGGCTACAGAGTTCCATCACCACCTGGACCACAGGGCCGCCTTAGATGCTAGGACAGTCTGGGCTCCTCCGCAGGAGCTAGTGGCTCAGACCCCAAACAGCTGAGCTGAAAGTAAGTTTGAGCCACGTTAGCGAGAGCAACCCCCTAACTCTCACAACAGGTGCCTCTGCTCTTCCTCCATCCGCCCCAGCCACCGCCCATCATGGTGTATCCTTCTGGCTTTATTCGGGCCCTCGGGAAGAAATAAATTAGTATGTGTGCCTCGTCGCACCAGAGATTTTAGATGTCAATGCGCTGTGGAAATAATGTAGGTCTGTGGCTTTTAGCAGAGAATGAATGACAGATAGATAATTTATGATGATTCTCAAGAACTGAACTGTAATTATGAAGTATTTCTAGGTGTATATTCAGGATGCAAAGTGTAGGGAACCTAGAGCTAATGTTAATTTATTACTGACAGCTGTATATATAATAATATATCATGTCTTTTAATCTTACATTCCTTCTGACTTACATCAAGCAATCCTTTCATTCATTAATAAAATCAAGCCTTGCCATTATTCTTAATGATGAAGTCCCATTTTGAATCCGGAGGACTCCTATAATTAAACTCTGTACTTCCATATACCAGACATCTGAAGCTCAAAAAAAAAAAAAAGATAAATTGAACTTCTTGTTTTACAGGCAGGATGAAAACGTCAGAAAAATGGAGCCCACCTGCTCACAATCCCACTGGACCTAAACAGAAAGTCGGGGTAATGTTTGTGTTTATCTTCTCAGTTCACACCACTACTCTGTTGTCTTCTCCTTTCAGCCGCCCCCCCCCCCGCCTCCCGTCACCCCTGCACAATCTTTCCCTTTTTTGAGGCAGTGTATGCAAGGGATATTTTTTTAAAGGTCAAGATAAAAATTACAACTAAAAGAAATACAGGCTAACACGTCTCCTCCAATTTTCTGTGCTGTGCCAAAGACTTACACGATTAATCCTGTCAAAAGAAATCTAATCTAATCTTATTACACCAAAGACAAGGTGTCCTTTATAAGTATCGTGGCTGGGAACAAGTTGGTCTCCTCAAGTTTCGACTGGTTTGGTGTCTCATTCAGTTTACAGCCAGTCATCACCTTGGCAACTTATTCACCTGCAGGTGCCCTTAGCATTCGCAAAATTTAAACCGGGCTCTGGGTTAGGTTGTCAAGCACACGCCACATATTATCAGACTCCTTGGTCACTTTAGAAGATACAGGCCCATGATACTTGTAGAAGCAAAACCTTTCACCTCATCCACTAATTAATGATCACAAACTGGAATAATGAGATATGTGGAGATAGGGATCCAGTTATCCGGGTCATCTCTCACCTGGAGACAGAATCAGATTCCAGAGAGTAGGTGTGAGAGAACTGAGTAAGCAAGTTTCCTATCTGTAACACTAAATCTTACTAGGATCAGTTAATTAAATCATGATAAATAACACTCTGTGGCAAGGGGAAGGCGCTCAGAAGAGTTGGGTGGGATGACCCCAAGTTCAATGGTTCAAAGACATTCACTACATCTGAATGTCTTTGCATTCCTCTGACTCAAAAACGTTGTCTGTAATTTTCTGGAGAGCTCTCGTACAGGAAAGAAAAATACTGGGGTTACTCCACCAGCTTTCTGAAGTTGCCAGGGTTTTCCTACTGGGTTCTGTGTCTTACAGAATAAAGGTCCTGATTCGTTGACATCACTACCTGCCTGGTTTCTTTCTACTGGCTCTGCCTCCTCCAGTTACTGCAGGGTAGGGAGGAAGAATGTCAGTCAGCAGTGGCTATGCCACGCTGTAGTAACAAACAGCTCCAAGCATCAGTGACTTCCTCACGCCACTTATCCACTGTGGGCAGCTCAGTCGCTGCTACGCCAAGATGTAGGCTGCCAGCGTGGCCACCGTTTTGAACATTGCGGGTCATCAAGTCAGTGGGAAAACGGTTCTCTGGAGGCAACCGCGCTGGCAATTAAATGCTCCGGGATACAGGTGACACCCCCACCACACACGATTCATGAGCCAACACCAGTCACAGGCCACACCTCTGAGCCAGAAAGAGGGCCAGGAAGTTCTTGTCCTGCAAGAAGGGCAATGGAAAATAACTGATGTCTTCCCGAAAAGACTATCACAGAAACTTCAGACAGATAAACTTATCTTCTATCTCTTGTTGGGAAGCCCCTTATTTTTCCCTCGATCACAGCTTCTCTGCTTTATTTTTGCCCTCTTCCCTGATCAAATAATTCTCTGACTTCCGTCCACTTTTGGGTTCCCGGACGTCACGGTTATCACCAAAGAAAATCTTCTCTTCGGAGAGTTATAAACTAAGGCTGTTTGTATAGCTCAGGAAAGGAAGGAAATTTGCACATTAATTGTTTGCTCTTGTTTTCTCCTTTTCATGTTTTGCTGGTTTTCCTTATTTTTTTTTTCCTTCCACCTTTTGGTGGTAGTCTTCCACTCAATCTCCTTCATTGAAAAAAAAAATTGCTCAATGCTTTATTTTTCCTTCTTCTTAGCTGTTTGGCCCAAAATGGCAAAGGAGTCTAATTCTGTAGATTAACAGAAATCTAACTTCCCTGATTTCCCAACCTCCCCAATTCAGGTGAATTTGTATCCTGAGGTAGAGTAAGGAGAGTTCCTGACCTGCCCCAACAGTGCCTAAGTGTTGCTAGGAACTTGAAAATTGAGAGTCCAGCCTACTGCAAAGACCTGTAAACCTGTCCAAGGGCCAGTCCAACCACGACCATGGCGGGAATCTCAGGTTTGCTCCCTTCCTACTGCTCCTGGCCCACCTACCGAGTCCAGACCCAAACACCCTGCTGTGCAGCTCCCAATGCACCCCAACAGTCCAGCATCCTCTGCAAGGTTGGAGGAAACGCCTCACTCCCTTTGCGTTTTGCTCTGCTCACAACCCTGGTGCATGCATCATGGATGAAAACAGAGCCAAGTGAGGACCACCATGGTGCCCTGGGAAGGCCGGAGGTGGTGTCACTGTGTCCAGAGGCCGAGCCAGGCCCTAACCCCCAGGAGCAGTCCTTTATCTGAAAATCTCTCTTGCGAGCCAACAGATGACCCAGGGCAAGCCCTGCCCTGCACCAGTCACCCCCCAAGTCCGGCCACAAGCCTAGCTGGGGCCTCTACATTTGCACCAAGACCACAAAAAAAAGCAAAAACAAAAAAAAACACACACAAAACCAGAGCCCAACAAGCGCGGGAACAAATCCACAGGCATTGAGCTTGAAGACAGCGCCGGTGCTCAGGGTGGAAAGCCAACCTGGGAGGGGATGAGGGGATGGGGGGATGGGGGGATGGGGGGATGGGGCCGCGCGGGGAGACACAGACCTGCAGGCCCAGGTGACCCCCCGCCGCACTAGGCCGACGCCTTGCGAGCCCCCAGCCCGCCGGGCCCCCCCTTCCCTGGCCCCGCCCCGCCCCGCCCGCCGCGCGCCCCAGGATGCCCGTGGGCGGAGCCTAGCGTCGCCCCGCCCCCTCGCCCGCCACTCGGGTCACCTGACCTGCCCGCGGCTCACGTGATCCGTCCCCAGCGCCGCCATCTTGGAGCTCCGGATGAGGAGGGGGAAAAGCGGGGGGGAAAAGAGGGAAAAGAGCCGGGAGCGAGGCGGGCGAGGACGAGGGCGAGGGCACGGCCGGGCTGCCGGCCGGCCAGAGGAGGCTCGCGGAAGCAGCAGGCGCCGCCCGACCGCAGGTACCGCGCCCCGGGGCCGCCCCTCCGCCCGCAGGTAGCGCCGCCGCCGGCCATGTGCGCCCCCCCCCCCCCCGAGGCCTCTCCGGCGGCGCCCGCTTCCCCTGCGGCCGGCCGACCCCGCCCGGTGCCCTCGGCACCTGCCGCAAGTTCCGCGTGCTCTTCCAGGGCTCCGCGCCGCCCCCGGCGAGGCCTGCGGGGACCCGGGGGGGGGGGGCGGGGAGCGGGGGAGGGGCGGGGAGGGGGCGCCCTCCGGGAGTGTCCCCGGGCGGGCCTGCCAGCTGTCGGCCGCTTCCTCCCCCTTCTGCAGGTGCTCTGCAGGTGTGATCCGCCGTAGGCCAGCCGGGGTGGAGGAAAAAGAAAAAAAAAACAAAAAAAAAAACAAAAAAAAGCTCACGACGGTGTGTCCACTGCTTCCTCTGATGACTTTCCTCCTCGAGCCCCCGTCGCCCCAGCCCAGTTCTTGGTGTAGAAAAAAGGCTGGTACCGAAAATCCACCCCCGCCCCCCACACACCCCACCCCCGGCTTCTCCGCCCCGGTCACCTACGGTCCTGGTCGGTGAACTCGGCGTCCGCCGCGGGCGCCTCCGGAGGGGACGCGGGGGCCCGGGGGGGGGGGGGGCCTGGGCCACTGACTCGGCGGCGGCCGCAGCCCGGAGGCCAGCCCGGTGGGTGCCGCGGGGGGCTGGCACTTACTATCAGTCTGCATCTCTCCCTGTCAGGCAGTTAGGGGATTCGTCGCCTCCTTCCCTGAGCTTGCACTTTTCTTCAGTTGCTCTGATCCGCTTTGATCGACTCCGGGTACGGGGCTGCGTTATCGATTAAAAAAGAGAAAGCCTGGGCCTGGGCCCCCTTCCTCCTTCCTCCACCCCACTTAACTTCGTTTAAAAATTGACTTCAGGGGAGGACCAAAGACGTGCTTTCTGCCCCGGCGATGAACCGTTTACTTGACCATAATCGATAAGGCAGCTGCATTCCAGGTGAAACGAACATAGGCATTCTTCGATTTTTTTTTTTTTTTTTTTTTTGAGACTCAGCCTAGCCAGTGTAAGACACACACTGTAGCAATGAAATGTAAGACCAGGGCAGGAACCCGCATCGGAGGATATGTACAGGTCCATCTACTGTGCCTTATCTTTTTTTTTTTTTTAAGGTTTTTATTTCTTTCTTTCTTTTTTTTTTTTTTTTGAGACTCCACCTGGCCAGTGTAAGACACACACAGGAGCAATGAAATGTAAGACCAAGGCAGGAACCCGCATCGGAGGATATGTACAGGTCCATCTACTGTGCCTTATTTTTTTTTTTTTAAGGTTTTTATTTCTTTCTTTCTTTTTTTTTTTTTTTGAGACTCCACCTGGCCAGTGTAAGACACACACAGGAGCAATGAAATGTAAGACCAGGGCAGGAACCCGCATCGGAGGATATATACAGGTCCATCTGCTGTGTCCTATCTTTTTTTGTTTAAGATTTTTTTAATTTCATGAGAGAGACAGAGAGGCAGAGGGAGAAGCAGGCCCCATGCAGGGAGCCCGCCGCAGGACTCCATCCCGGGACTCCAGGGTCACACCCTGACCCTAAGGCAAGCGTTGAACCGCTGAGCCACCCAGGGATCCCCTGTCCTATCTTTTCATTGCCCACTGTGCTTTGCAGAACTGTCTGAAGTTTGCAGAATCATCCTCTAGATCGTATTTTTGGTCGAGATTAAAATAACACACAGTGTATTCCTCTCCATTACAGAGTGATACCAGTCACACCAAGTAGCATTTAGAATCGATTAGATAAAAATTCTGAGCTAAAACAAAATGCACAATTATCGGGAGAAGTTTCCAGAGCAGGTTTGGGGTTTTTTGTTTTGTTTTTCTGACTCGTGCAAAATCATGAAGTCTACTTGTGAGAGAAATTATGTAAATTTGCATCACATGGTTGGATTGGGTGATAAACATTCCTCCGAGTTTCATTTTGCATAGAATATTGGGGAAATTTTCGCTGCCAAAAGAAATCATTATTTTGTTTCACCAAGAAAGAGAAATATTTGATATTATATACTTTCATTCTTGGCCACAGCTGAATTCTGAAGATTGATCCAAGGGACTGTGTTAATTTCAGGAATTGATTTGAAAGACATTGGCTCTGCCACTTAACAGCCATGTAACCTTAGGTAAGTTCCTTAAACCACACTGAGTGTTTTCCTGATTTGTAAAATTGTGTAACACCCACCTGGCCTGTGCAAACAGTTATGAAGATCAAACACGCTAACATGCCTGATACGGCCTAGCTGTAAGGGACTGTTGTTCTTTTTAGTACAGATTCTTTATACGCATTTGTTCCCCCTCAGATGTTAGAGGGAAATTGATGTATTAAGAAGGGGGAATTAGATAGGCGTGGATTCCAATTCTTAAATCAGTTATTACTTTACATCTGTGAGCCTCAGATTCCCTACCTGCAAAAAAGAGGCTATTACCAGAAATAACATGAATAAGACACAGAGCCTACATAGACACTGCTCCCTGGGTGGTGAGCGCTTCAAGGGCAAGGATTTCTTCTTTCTTACTTCTATAGCCTCCAGCACTGTGCTTGGCACATTGTAGGTGCTCAATAAATGTTAAATCTTAATATTGGTTCATATTAGTTAGGCCTTATGTCTTCACGGTAGCTGCCAAATTAGAATCTTCTCTCAGGCTTGATGCCAGCTACGAAATTTTAGGTTATGAAATTCATGTACTCGTGATATTTATACTGTTTTTTTCTTCATGGCAATTAATCCCATTAAGCTAAGGAGATCTTAATTCAAATAAATTATAGTTGACACTAGTAAGATAAATCTATAAATAATATGTAAGCAGTCTCGAGGTAATTTTTTTTATAGACAGTTTATAATTCAGGTACATGAAAGTTCATTCAGTACCAGTCTCTTGTTTTACATCTGAGGAATCTGAATAAAACCTACAGAAACAGTGACCTGCCTAATAAGGGCACGCCGCTAACTGAGGGTACTCTAAAAGAGGAACTTCTGCCTTTTAGCTGGAGCAAAACAAATGTTTTGTATTTTAGAATTACGATAATCTAGGAGAATGGGAAATTGGCCATTATTTCACACAATCTTTGGTCTGGTTGGGAGAGAACAGATTCTAAGTCCGAAAGAAAGTATTCTTTATAACATACCAAACTGCCTTTACGCATACACAGAAAATTACAGCCTATTTCCAGACCCCCACAGGAATTGTTCAACTTGATTTTACTTACGATAACCATACTCAGCATCTGAAAGGAATTAATTAGATGTACAAAGAAACCAAGTAGTAAATTATAAGGAAAGAAAGACAACCGAAATACTTTGGTTTTCTTGGAAAAGACATTAATTATAATCTTTTGCCTGTGGAATACAGGTCTCCCCCACTTTTCCAGTTTGCTTTCTGCCACTTTGCTTTTATGAGACCTACAAAAGTACCTATTTTCTCTAACGGAAAGAAATCCGAAGATTTCACTTTTACAAAAAAAAAAAAAAGATGAAAAGCGAAAATAGTTTTCAATGTTTGTTTTGCAGTGAGCCATTAATAGAGCCAGCACCCAAGCAACAAGAGTGGCCCCACCAAGCTCCTTTCCTTCCCCTGGAACTACGCTCAGCATCTCAGCATCAAGGCGCCAGAGTTTCGAACTGTGTCTGTGAGCATCTGTGCTTTATCTTGATTTATTTTGTGCATTTGTTAGCAAGATGTGTCCTAAGGTATCAGAAAAGCCTCTTAGGTTATTTTTTGGTTTGAGGAACACTCAAAACTTTTTCCATATAAATTAACGGCAATTCCTCCTTCACTTTACATTGCTTTGGCTTCTGAAAGATTTCATAGGAAGGTTCTACTTTTGGATAGTGGGAGAAACCTGTCCTGTTGTCTGGGAAGGATTTGAGACTCAGTGAGAAAGATTTATGGAACTTCTCTGGTTTGGGATACAACTTCTATTTGTTTATTTATAGCAATGTGATTTATTTTTGTCTAATGCTTTGTCTAAAGGTTCCAAACAAGAAGCTTCCTACTTTGGTGATGCCTCTAGTCTTTCCTGTTGCTGTAAACTTTCCTGTTCAGCCATATTGCTCTTTTTACTCACCACTAGATAGCAGGTTTATTCTTGTTTATGAAAATATAATAATGTTGTGGCTGTTTTCCTTGTCAGTCTTACCTTTGCTGTTAACAGAATTCCAGAAGAGCAACTGAGGCACTCAAGGAGGTTGTATTTACCGTTACTCATAATAAAGGTGTAGGACTTGTATAGGCAAACCACAGGGATAATGCAGTCATCTGCAGCTAGCAGCATCAGGACAAGGAAGGGGTACCAGAACCAGGAGTCTTGTAAAGCCCGCTGCCTGAAGAGAATGGCCTTCCACTGAGGAACATTTCTATTCCAGTGACCTAGAGGGAGGGAACCAGGGAAATGAGTATCCTGATCTCACTCTGTTACCTCCCTCTGGTCTCCTTTCGTGGCTCCCAGTTGAAATAACGCCACAAGAAACCAGAGGGCAAGGGAGTCTAATGACGTAATACCTCCTGGGGCAGAGTGCAGAGTAGAGAAAAGGAGACAATGAGCCCAGCGGGGCAAATGTTGACATCTGGCACAGCTGCTTTTGGAATACAGTGTACATCTTACCTCTTTGGAAAGCCTTGTCTTACCTTCCTAGACCCAAACTGGGTCTTTGGTTTCTATTAGGATTTGGTCATTGAGCGTTGCCTTCTGACTATTTTACCTTGTGTACCGTTGCATTACTTAACTTATAAATACGTTTGACCTATCCAGCCAACTCTGTTTTAAACCATGAGTACTGTGATTTTAATTTTTTTCCATACTGTTTTGCTTAGTGCCTTGCACATAACAATTTTTACAATATTTTTTATTATGAAACGTTTTCAACACGTACACAGTAGAAACAAGGTACTCCTAGATACTCATCGTTCAACTTCATTAACAAAATTTGCCGTTCCTACTCTATCCCCACCCCCTCCAACCACCCCCAACCCTAGTTTTTGGTTTTTTTTTTTTTTTTTTTTTTTTTAGATTTTATTTATTGATTCATGAGAGACACACAGAGAGGCAGAGACACAGGCAGAGGGAGAAGCAGGCTTCACACAGGGAGCCTGATGCAGGACTCAATCCCAGGACTCCAGGATCACGCCCTGGGTGGAAGGCAGGCACTCAACCTCTCAGACACCCAGGCGTCCCTGACCCTAATTATTTTTTAGAGTTGCATTTACGTTGATCTTTTGAAGACCATGGATAGTATGCAGATGTTCATAATCCATGTTGTCATCATTATTGAGCCATTGAAATTGTGTTCATGCTCCTTTTCATCTCTTCCCCCCCCCCCCAGATAAATTTTACTTCACTTAACGTATGTACATACTTTTGTGGTAAAATATTTTGAAATTTTTGTGAAAATTTTCAAGGGCTGGCCTTAAGGTCAGTTTAACTCCCTCGCTGTGTATACTTTATTATGAACTGTTTTTCTGACCTTTTCTTAACAGAGACTTTTGTTTTAATGGGACTTAACTTGTACCTCGATTGTGCCATGTGGGCCCAAACTGGTTTTTCAGGTGTTTCTTGAGGTATTTTATGTTGTCATATCTGTTTTATAGCTGCCATTTCTGTACTTATCCCCAAATGTATGCAGCCTCTAAAATGAGATACTTACATAAATGTTCAGGGAAAATTGGAGCATCTGCTGCAAATTTCCATTAGCTCTTAATGCCTGAGCAGACACAGCTTTTAAAATCTGAATGTTTTGTCAGTTTCTTTTGTATTAGTCTTTTTCTTGAGATAAGATGAACCCCTCCTCCTCTTCACTTTTTTTCAGGTTGCACAGTGAAATATCCACAGGGAGCAATTTGCACCGCTCTCTTTCCTATTCTATCGTTAAGTAGAACAGGGATAATGTGAATCACCTTTGTTACCCTGTGGGTGTGCAAAGTCTGTTGAGCAGATACATTAACCTGCAGACTATCAATCAGCCTACATTGATGTCACATCTCATGGAGAAGGAGACCGTAGATCTACATAGACCACCAGAGCTTGTGTGAGAAATTAAATGTTCAAGCAGTCCTCTTATTAACAATTACTTAACTAGTTTGCATTTATCAATCAAACTGAAAGACATAAAGCCTTAAGTAAGTGACCCTAAAGGCAAATCAGTCATCAAGGCAAGACCCATAGTGCCCTTTGTCCTAAAAATGTGAAACTCTCAGGCAATAACATGACTTAGGAAGTCACACAGGATTTTCCTGAGGAAACACATTGTTTCCACACCAGTCTCTTCTTTAATGATTAAGATTGAGTGTAGAGATTGAAAAATACTGTTCTTCCTGTTTGAGAAAGAAAAGAACTACATAATCTTTTGAGAGAGACTTCCCTCAGGTTGTGTAAGGGAGAGGGTGGCTAAAGGGCCAGTGGTTGGTGGGAACTGGGGTGGGGGGTGGTAGTAGCAGTCACTGTTGTAATGGCTGTGGAAGTGTATTCCCTGCTAGGAGTGCAGTTTGGACATGGAAAAGAAAAGAAAGCCGATCACATTGGACAGAGTATTGGGAAGGAGGGAAGAAGAAGTAGTACTAAAGAAGCTGAGAGTAAAATGTTTGCATTTTTGCCTGATGTGGACCTAGATATAGAAAGTTTATGTGCCAGAAAGAGCAGAAAAATCAGAGAGGAAAAGCCATACTGTTGCCAAGAGTAGATATGGAGGACTGGCAATGCAGCTGGTCAGAGCGCTGGTAGGATCTAGCAGGAGTTAGGTTTGGTCTTGGTGGGGATTGAAGGGCCCTTCCATGTTGATTCAGCCACCTGCGGGGAGAGAAGCCATTATTCACCTCCTAAAATAAGAATTCAGAGCCCATGACTAAAGTTTAAGAATTGTGTGGTCTTTGGTCTATAGCTGGTGCCACTAAAACTTTTGCTGGCATTTATTGAATGTTGTGAGTAAGACTCCAGAATGCACCTAAAATGTGGAAAAACAAAACTTGTTGCTGGAAAAAAGCCTAAACTGAAAAATGTGATCCAAGTCAACAAATTAATCTCACTTTGAGCCAAAGGAAATGTTTGAAATGAAAGTACTGCCAGGAAATAGAGGATTCAGGATTTAGGCGGAAAGATATTGTGAGTATTTTTTGTTTTGTAACTTCCTTGGCTGTAACTCATTGCTAGAACTTACAGAGGACCCCTTTTAAGGACTTTAGATATTTAGACCTGAAGCACAACTAGGATATCAGTTATTTTCTTTCTCTGGTGCCGCTTTCCCTTTCAGGAAAAAAAGAAAAAAGAAAAGCATAGGCGTATGAGTAGTAGTTGACCACTAATAGGGCCTCTAGGAAAAAACCACAGCATAGTTTGTGGTTTTTCTTCAGGAAAATAAATTGAAGGAAGTATAAAAGAAGGAACTACATCATTGCTTTTATGTAGTTTCGTTTGCATAGTACTTCTCAAAATTCACTCTACCGTTTATATAAGAGGTTCACGACTATATTTTCAGAATTCCAAAGATTTGGGGCGAAAAATTTATAATTTTAATAATAAAACTACTATTATATTTGGGATGAGAAGTTGTCTGCCAAGAATTGTGTCGAACACATACTGGCTTTGCAGAGTGGTATTTTGTAGTAACTTGAGGTGGTTCCACATGCCCTGGGAATGCCTGTGTTTCTTCAGTCAAGGAATAGGAGTCCTGTTTTTTGGCATTGCTCAAAAGAGAGGGAGTACTGATTGGGCCCAGCTAGATGTCTAGGGGAAAAAAGTGAAGAAAAAGGAGATGCAAATTGTTTAAAGTCATTTCCAAGGAAAGAAATGGATGGAAAGATCATCATCAGTCTTGATAGGGAATGGCATTCCAAAGAGAAGCGCTGAACAATTTAAGTATTGGGGATAGCCAGATATACTGATATGGAGCTTCCAGGTTAGAAAATAAATAGATTAGCTTAAACTCTGAAGATTTGTTTCAATTTCCTGTGATTACATACTTGGAATACCCATAACCAGGTGATTATTTTCCGTTGTATATTATCCTTTCTAGATATGGAAGAAAGCAGCAGTGTTGCCATGTTGGTGCCAGATATTGGAGAGCAGGAAGCTATATTGACTGCTGAAACTGTCATCAGTTCATCATTGGAAATTGATGAACAAAGAAAAGTTAAAACAGATCCATTGATCCACGTTATCCAGAAGTTAAGCAAGATAGTAGAACATGAAAAGTCACAAAAATGTCTCTTAATTGGGAAAAAACGTTCACGTTCAAGTGCCACAACACACTCTCTTGAAGCCCAAGAACTTTGCGAGATTCCAGCTAAAGTAACCCAGTCGCCTGCTGCCGAGATTAGGAGGGCTGAGATGTCGCAGATACATTTTACCCCTGGCTCTCTTACCCAGAACGATGGGAAGGCTATGTCTTACCAATGTAGCCTTTGCAAGTTTCTATCATCATCATTCTCTGTGTTAAAAGATCATATCAAGCAGCACGGTCAGCAGAATGAAGTGATACTAATGTGCTCAGAGTGCCATCTTACATCTAAAAGCCAAGAGGAACTTGAAGCTCATGTGGTAAATGACCACGAAAACGATGCCAACAGTCATGCTCAATCCAAAGCCCAACAGTGTGTAAGCCCCTCCAACTCTTTATGTCAGAGACCCACAGAAAGAAAGAATGAAACCACTTCTGACATCGCAGTGACTGCAGACAGTCCGAAAACTAAGACTGCCCACAATGCATCCATGGCAGAAATGGGTAAAAGGAAGTGGTATGCATACGAACAGTATGGCATGTATCGATGCTTGTTTTGTAGTTATACCTGTGGCCAGCAGAGAATGTTGAAAACACATGCTTGGAAGCATGCCGGGGAGGTTGATTGCTCCTATCCAATCTTCGAAAATGAAAATGAGCCCCTAGGCTTGCTGGACTCTTCAGTGGTTGCTGAGCCTGGTGGGCTGGATGCAGTAGTCATTGCTATTGGAGACAATGAACTAAGCATCCACAACGGGCCTTCAGTACAGGTGCAGATTTGCAGCTCAGAAACCTTATCCTCTTCATCTCCTTTAGAACAGAGTGCGGAAGGGAGAGTTCATCTAGGTCAGTCAGTTACTCTTGACCCTAACGAGGAAGAAATGTTAGAGGTGATCTCTGATGTAGAGGAGAATCTGATTGCTGATAGTCTACTCTCATCTGCACAGAAGATCATTAGTAGTAGCCCAAATAAAAAAGGTCACGTTAATGTGATAGTGGAGCGTCTGCCAAGTGCTGAAGAAACTCTTTCACAGAAACATTTCCTCATGAATACTGAAATCGAAGAGGGAAAAGACCTGAGCCCAACAGAATCTCAGATCAGGTGTGAAGGACGAGATGAAGTTTATCATGCTGATAAGTGTACCGTTGATATCGGGGGGCTGATCATAGGCTGGAGCAGTCCGGAGAAGAAAGACAGTGAGTTAATAAACAAAGGACTGGCTGCAGACGAGAATGCCCCTCCAGGCCGAAGAAGAACAAATTCGGAGTCCCTCAGACTACACTCGTTAGCTGCAGAAGCCCTCGTCACGATGCCTATAAGAGCTGCAGAGCTGACGAGGACCAACCTCGGGCACTATGGGAATATAAACCTTCTAGATCCGGATACGGGACAAAGGCAAGTGGATAGTACATTGGCAGCATATTCTAAAATGATGTCACCACTTAAAAACTCTGCAGATGGATTAACCACTTTTAACCAAAGCAACTCTCCGTTGGTAGCGCTCCCCGAGGGTAGGCAGGAGTTGTCAGACGGGCAGGTGAAGACAGGCATCAGCATGTCCTTACTGACTGTAATCGAGAAGTTGAGGGAGAGGACAGACCAAAATGCTTCAGATGATGACATTTTGAAAGAGTTGCAGGACAATGCCCAGTGCCAACCTAACAGCGATGCCTCTTTGTCGGGAAGCAATGTAGTAGAATACATCCCAAATGCTGATCGGCCCTACCGCTGCCGCCTCTGTCACTACGCCAGTGGTAACAAAGGTTACATCAAGCAGCACCTGCGAGTCCATCGACAGCGACAGCCGTATCAGTGTCCCATCTGTGAGCACATAGCTGACAACAGCAAAGATCTGGAGAACCACATGATCAACCACTGTAAAACAAGAATATACCAGTGCAAGCGATGTGAAGAATCTTTTCATTATAAGGTAAGCGCTGGTTCATCAAATCATTCAGAGAGCCGTGGAACTTTTAGAGCAAGGAGGGCACTTGGTAGAGAGAACCCCACCACTGCATTTTATAGGTACGTAAACTGAGACCCAGGAAAGTTTGATAATTTGCCCAGGGACATCGCAACTAATTAGTATTAAAATTGGGACTGAAATCTAGGTCATCAGAATTTCTGCAATAGGATTGTTTTCCCTGCCAACCGCCTCCTCAACAGTTTCTGTGTTTATTGCTTTAGTGTGGATATATTTTTTTAAGTGTGTTGATTTTAAATTGCAGGGCAATTACAAGGGAACGTAGGTACAGTGGAGGGATATACACATATTTGATTTACACAAATGTTATCATACATCATCAGTGCCAAAAAAAAAAAAAAACCAACAATTTTTCATCTTCCATGTCCCCAAAATGTAGATCATTTACTTTCAGGTAAACAACCAGCCAATAGTGATCTATATTGTTGCAGGAGGAAAAATAAGCTGGACTTAATGAAACTAAAGTAGAAGTAGAGCCACATGTGTTGTTTCATGGGCAGTTTAAGGGACTTTCAAGGATTATTTTGACTGGTTTTCATCTTTTATGCTACCTTAAACAACCGAAACTAGATTCATTGAATAATTAATTTAGAACTTTTCTTCTCCAGTATTTGGTGGAAGGGGGAAAAGTGTCCTAAAAGAGTAACTGGGATATAGACTTTCTCTCAGATTTCTCAGAGTTGAGGTCTAGCTGGTAGTAAAAAAATATTGGGAATAAAAAAAGCTTTTGAGTCTTGAGATTCACTGCCTACTTGGATTGCCCTCATGAAATTCTGTAGTGGCCCCAGGCTACTAGACAAGCAGTGCATCCAAATGGGCAGCAAAAGCAAGTTCCAGAAGTTTCTTTGGCTCCTGCATTCTTGATTGGTGAGGATAGGGGTGGAGGAAGAAGGTACTGTGGAGGAACAGTTTCAATTAGGTTCTCTACACATTTAGTTGGTATCGAAAGGCAAAAATTAACACAAGTCCAGTAGTTGGTGTTTGGATCTCTTTTTGTGAAAGCAGTTGGGTTATTCTGAACACTGTGCTCTTCCCTCTGGGCCTGTCAGCGAGCGGTTCAGTAAGCATGCACATGCCCTGTGTAAACACCTCTGGAAGGTAACAGGAGATTCCTTTTGGGGAATGTGAAAAGAACTGCCTTTTTGATGAGATTATGATTTCTCTAGAGTATTTCTTCCCATAAACTGTCAAATAAGTCAGATAATCTTTTAGCACACCTGATTTTAAAATATTGGTAATGTGTTCTAGGTGCTGGGCTGTGAAAGCAATTAACTGCATCTACCATCTCTTATTAACAACGCAAGCATGTTTATTGAAAGTTACATGTGAATATTTCTCAATTTTTTAGAGTCAACTAAGGAACCATGAGAGAGAGCAACACAGTCTTCCAGATACCTTGTCAGTAACAACTTCTAATGAGTCGAGAATTGCCGTTGATACAGCTGATGGGAAATGTGTTCAAGAAGGTATCTGTGCTTTTTTTTCTTGTACAGGTTGCATGACTAGCATATGGAGCCTTCTTAAAAAGCCCTTAGTTGTCATGTGGGTTAATTTCAGGACTCAAGCTGCATATATTCTCTTTTCATACTGTGGAGTGAATCTTACCTGTGTTCCTGAGGATGTCCTGTGATACTAAGTGAAATACTGTATTAGTAAGGACTGAGCTTCAAGGGCAGAGATAGATAATAGGCTGAAATTCATGCTATCCTGTAAGAGCCAAGACCAACATAAACCCTTGGGTTACAAACCAGCAAGCCGGGGAAGCTGCAGCACAGAAAGCAAGCCCTCCCTCTCAGCACCAGTTGACCCACTGAGAACATAGCAGCTTTTGCAGATGGCAGGCCCCCACCTCAAACTTCGAGTGAGGCTTCCTGCTGTGATCTTATTCTTATCCAAGTATGACTGCCAGATTTCATCTGCATTATTTTAAAAAAACGCAAAATCTTTTTATGTACTAGTTAGGTACCAGTCGGCTGAGTTTCTGCTAATAGGAATATTAGAATCAAAAGATTTAATTAGAGTTCCATGAAAAGGCGGATGCCACATCCGGAGAATTAGGGATAAAGCGTAATAAACTGTGCTTCCTTGCATCAGCTCTCTTAAATTGATATACTTTAAATGTCTCAAGTGCGGTATGTAGTGTTTATGGGAAATAAAACATATTGGGGTGACTTTCCTTTTTAGATTTCCTAAGAATTAAAGTTAGAAACAACTGCAGAGTAAAATGTTTTACCGTAATGTTTCATTAAATTATACCCCAGAAAGCATAACTGATTCAAGAATGTTTCTGAAAGAACTGATTTTGACACCACTGTAGTACCAAAATTCCCTTGTCAAACAGATGTCATCCCTGTAAAACTATCCAAAACAAAAGGAGTTTATGACATAGCATCTGTTTCTGCAATAGATGGCTGCTTTAGCAGTTTTGTTTCCTTTTTACGAAATAGCCCTAAATGCCTCCTTTTATTTTAATTCATTATGTTTCCATATTCCCTTTAAAGGAGACAATAAAGCATTTGATGTCATTGGACCATAAATCCCTAATGAAGGAATAAAGTAAATACTACTCAGTGGCACCACCTGCGGTTAATACCAGTGGTGGAATATGTCTTTTCTAGCACCGTCTTCAAAAGCAGTAATTTATAAAACTGTCCAAATGGGTTAACAAATTAGAACTCACAATTTTAATAAAAAAAGATTAAAATGTCAGCTCAAAATTAAAGTAACCAGTTTGAGCTTTACAGCGACAGCATCTGTCCACCATATTCCATTTTACAGCATCTTTGTGCATTCGCCTCTGTTTCTTGGGGTTAAACGTATGGATTTTAAATTGCTTGCCATGTCTGTTTTTCCCTCACTTTGTTCCATTTGCTTTTTGATCATAGTAGTTTAACAGTTCAGGTGACTGTTAACCTCCTGCATACTTACACTTACGCTGATACTTTATTAATTAGTATTAGATCATTTGAAATCTGGTTGTCGGGCCAAAAAACAAGTGCTTAGCTCACAAAAAAGTCAGGGTAATTCATGTTTCACTAAAACTTCTTTAGCCATTTAGTAAAGTTAATGAACAAGTTAGAGGATGTATGTCTCAGTGGTCCCCAGCCTCTGCCCATTATGATAGCACAGATAACTTGGGACATGTTTTGACTCAGAGACCCAGTGTAATGGTATTTCAAACATTTGTTCTACCAAAAGGCATGGGGTGCCCATCCTGATCTAGCTGGCCAGGGGTACAGTGAAGGCATCACTGCCTGTAAGGAGCCTAGCCAGAGAGGAAGACAGAACCAAACTGAGGGGGATGTCAGCCAACATCACAGGTGCTCAACTAGAGCCATTAGTGAAGCACTTTCATAGGGTGTTCCTTCCTGAAATTTAATTAAGTTGTTCTTTATTGCAGACATACAATTCGCAAATCCCTAGAGATTCAGTGTAAACAAAACACACAGATCCCTGCCCTCCGGGAGTCTACAGCTCAGGATGGGTCAGACACCTGACACAACATGCAGATGACATGCAGACCGCAGTGAAGGAAGAACAGAGAGTTCTCCTGGGCTTCCTAAATAAACCATACTGGGAGGTTCTAGAATTTCCATTTTGTAGACGAGAAAACTGAGTCCTCATGAGGCAAAATAAAATGCTTTGCCTGTGATCACCCTGCTACTAAGTAGAAGAGCAAGGACGAAGCCCAGAGTTGTGAACTTTAAATCTAATATTCTTTCTGTTAGAAACAGTTGCTTGAAGTAGCACGGGCTCTCATTCTGTGCTATATTAAGTTTTTCCATCTGTCATTTTTATTAGTTGTCATTGATCTGTAATATTTCTCACACAAAACCATTATCCAATATTTCACACTTCATTTTTTTAGGTTTTTTTCTAAAAACTGTATTTGGAACACTGCCACTTACAATCAAGTCCAAGTTTTTAACCTACCAATTAAGAGTAATACTTACGTTATAATTATGATTAGTGTATACATTAATGTTGCAGACTTACACCAGGAAATTAGGACATTTTGTTCTGCCTGGCAAAAGTAGTTCTGGGCAAAAGAAAATTTCAGTTTTAGAAAGCTTAAATTTAACTTAAGGATTTTCTTTGTTACAATTTCAGCGTGGGTTTCTTTTGTGCCACCAATTTTATGATTATGCGCTGTGTGCTAGTGATCTACCTAAGCTGCCTTCCTGCTCTGCCTTATTCTCCAGCTTTCCATGCTTGCTTTGTTTCTGAGTATAAAGCAGTCAGGCTGTGAATGGCCTGCGGACTTTGTGCTTACAGAAGAGTAAAGAAAGTGTTGAATATCTTCAGGAACAGTTTTACATGATCAAGTCATCCAGTTTGTATTGTCTCGGGCTTACCCTGATTTAAATTGCCCAGCCCTGGCGCTGCAGAGTGAGTGTGGTAATGTGGCCTCTTCTTTTCCATTGGATCCCTGTATTCTGGACTTCAGAGAGCTGCACGTTCGCATTAGTGATAACACTTGTCCTTGTCCCTGGCAGTTGGCTAGGTATGATCATACGACATTATTCAGCACGGAATAATTTCTTGGTGTTTTTTCTTCTGTTGTTGCATTGACAGCTGACTTTTCAGTTGTAAACAAAGGCAACCCACAGGGTAAAACAGTTTTAGGCTTTTTATATTGAATTTATTCTGTATGCTTTGTAGCCAGACTGTATAATATTATATTACAGTATTAAATCACAGCTTGTTGGCAAATCAGTGTTTCCTTAAGACAGTGAGTCTAATATCAATTAGACTAACACCTTTGAGATTGACAGTATATCTCTGGTTTATTCAGCTGCTACACAGTAGGGCAGCTGGCATCAAGTTTATTATATTTTAGCATTTTGTACAAGGTTATGCAGAAACCAACTCAATGTATCTATGTTTACAGTTCAGATGATGTTCAGTTCATATGGAAAGTCATGTTCAAAATTGTTAACTTTATTAAATGAGAAAGCCTTGATTGAAATATTAATACTGTGTGCTATAAATATTCATTTACAGTGGAAATTATGTCATTTGTATTTAATCAAAGGATGTCACTAAAGGTCTCCAATCGCTTGTCTAGGGAATAAGTCTTCAGTCCAGAAACAGTATAGATGTGATGTGTGCGATTATACAAGTACAACATACGTTGGTGTCAGAAACCACAGACGAATCCATAATTCTGACAAGCCATACAGGTAAGTGTGATGATCGTAGAGTTTTAATGCTTGTAGTAGAATATTTTATAGTAAAGAAAAATGAGATAATTGAAGATTCATAACATTTGTTTAAACACAAGTTCAGCACAAAGAAACTCACTACTGGTTTCAAAAGTGTAGTTTGTTAAGGAATATGAACTTTAAGCTTGAGTCTTAGGACAATAGGCATTTTGTGTAGATGAAATACAAAGATATCTACATCTTTGTCAGTTTGATGTTTTCTGTTTCGTGTGGGTATAAATTATAGCAATCTTCAGTGTTTCTGGTACATTTCAGTAATTTGGTTTAAGTACTCCATATTCCACCAAAAGATGCTTAAAACTTAAAAGCCATATAATTCCCTATGAAAGACTCTCTTTTTGAAAATTAAGCTGTCATTTAATTTAAATTTGTTACTTGATTTTTCACAAAAATCCATTGTAATACATATTTTCAGGAAATAAAGGCGTTCTCAGGTGATCAAGATAGAAAAATAGAAATCATTGTTTCTTAAGTACACTTTGGCTCTTGAGAATAAGCTGCTTGTTGTTCATGTAGTAGAGATACAAACATTTTTGCAGAAGTTTGTCAGGCTGTCACAGAGCAGTCTGTTCTGCTCGCAACCGTGATTGATGGAGTATCAGGTTCCTACTCAAAGCGGAGACCGTCACCATGACTAATTGTGCCAGGCCACAGACATGAACTTTTTTAATGGCTTATCAAAACCTGTTTCACGTCCTAATTTCTCTCCCCAGCCTTTGTATACATATGACACAAGTGAGTGTGGGAAAGTCACTATATTAGTAGTTAAATGAAAACCTGACAGACTGTGCCTGAAAATGCCATTATTTGGTGTAGTTGTGTCTGTATGTGTATGGCTTTAAATATATAACATTTGCTTAGTTTGCTAACCAACAGACTTATTTATAATCACCCTCCACTTTCAAAGTCCTGTAGCTCTGTGATAGGTGATGGCCTTTCCTGAGTGTGTCTGTTTTTATTTCAAACGTTTTTAACACTAGGATCCCTGAGAAAGATTTTTTTTTTTCCCAGAGTACAATGAAGGCCATTAACAATAACTCCATGCCAGAAATTACAGATAAGGAGTGATTGGGTGTTATTTAGCATGTATCGTTTATGATTTACTCTAGGAAGTATTTAGAAGAACATGATGGAAACGGGGACACTGGTTCATCGGATAAGAGGAGAAAGCTATATCTTTATTTTTAAATCTAATGACCTGTGCTAAATCATGTGAGAGTAAAATAACATTCTCTGGGTTTAGAATTAGACTCCTCATTCCAATTCATTGAAAAATATTTACTGAGCAAATACTATGTTCCAGGTGCTATGTAGGCTCTTAGACTGTAGACTTCATGATAATAAAAAAGGATATTATGCCTCTATCGTGAAGTTTGTAGATAAACCGTAAATAAGTAAACTCTCAAGTACACAATTACGATAAATTTATGAAAGATTCTGGGTCTGTAGAGAATCTGCACATCACATCTACCTGAGTGGTCTTGACCTAGGATCTTGTACCAGTGGGCAACACACTATGATAACCCTCTTCCTCTTACAACACAGGTCAGTTACTTTCCAGGTTAATTCACACTATACTTTGTCACTGGGTTTGGCCTAAGTGCTCATGTCTTAGAAGAGATGTTGTACGTCCCCCTCCCTGTAATTATAAGCAACATTTTCTCCTAAGTCTTATTTTCAAATTGTCAGGTCTTGTTGACTCTATTTTTTTAACCTCCTTTAAATACTTTAAATCCACATGGAATTGTGAATTAATGGGCTCTATTCCAGTATGTGTCAAGACTTTGTCTTCCTTGTCATATACTGCTTGCCTTAAGCTAAGCTAGTAAGCATTGCCTTTTCGAGATCTAATTTGATCTAAGTTATCACCGTAGTCTTCCTGGCTTATTGCATATATGCTTCATTCGGTTTTGCCGCCTGATACACTTAATAATCAGTTTGGCCTTATTTTCCCAGAATCTATGCCCTGCACATTTCTGGTTACCTACTTTTCGTTAAGAACCTCGCTCCCCAGGAGCAATGGTGAATTCCTTACAGAGTTAGAGTGCCTTGTTGCACAACTTCTAGTCTTGGCACAAGGGCAGAACAGACGCATTGGTGTTTCATTGTGCCTGTTATGTAATGGATTCCCTGCAGTATGTATAACTATTCTTTGTTCATGCCTTTACTTTTTATGTCACCATTCTAGTCCTTCAGGGAACCCATTTGTGTGATCTGGGCAGTATAAAGCTTCACTTACTGGTTAAGAGCCCTGGTTCCAGGGGCAGATAGCCCTGGGATTGAATCTGAGCTCTCTGACTTAACGGCATTTATTACTGTGGGGCAACTATTTCACCTTGCGTTGCTTGGTCTTGTCTTTTCTAAAATGAGGATAATTAATTAAGGCACCTGCTTTACAGGACAGGCGTGAGGACTAAATTAAATACCATATGTAACTGGCACAAACTAAGCACCCAGTAAGTGGTGGTCAGCTAATCTCACTGGGCCCAGTTTCTAGCCTCATCCCCTCTGACTGATGCATTGTCTAACATCACCTCCCCCACCCCCAAAAATGCTGTTGACCTCTCATTTTGAGAAACAAAGAGTAATCCTGTTTCTGGATAGATGAGCATAGCTTATTTCTTTTATAAAAGAGGTGCTACATCCAGGTAGAAATACTGCCACAGCTGAGGTCCCCATGCTGTGTTGCCTGCCTTACAAGCAACCCAGTGTCTTATGTAACATTCACGCTTTAGAGTCTCAGGCCTGAGCCACAACCTATTCCCAGCTAGGTAACCTTCTGGCTTTTGTTCCAGGCTAATCCTCCTTTCCCATATGAAACTGCGAAGAATAATGCCTAGCTCATAAAGCTCTGTGAGGGTTGAATGAAGTCGTGTGTATTAAGCACCCAGCATATTTCCTGGTGCATTGAAGGAGCTGGTTTTCTTCTGCATTTGTAAGGTCATCTCAGAAACTGTCCTTTTCACAGAAGGAAGAGAGCCATTTGCCATTCCTTCGTAGGGACAAGGAAAGATGAAAAAGGCATCATCCCACCCCAGTCCTACCAAACGCAGCAAACTTTGTTTTTCAGTGCTTCATTAAGGAACATTCTGTATAAACCACATACCAATTGTGGTTATACCATACCTGGTGTTTATAACATTGACCCCACAGTTAAAGGGCTCCATTTAGAATTTTCAAATACTAAATCATCCTCCATTTCATTTAATATTGAAGTTGTAGAATTCCCTCTGGCTTCCAGTCCCCAGTATCACTTTTGTGACTAACTAGCTAGTAATGCAAAATGGGATGACAAACCATTTTCCTCAGGTTACGAAGTTTCCTTCTAACTATCTGAAGTTCAACTGCTCTCCCTTAGAAACACACTTGAGGGGTGCCTGAGTGGCTCAGTCAGTTAAGCATCTGACTCTTGATTCTGGCTCAGGATATGATCTCAGGGTCATGAGAATAAGCCCCACGTCAGGCTCTGCACTGGGTGTGGAGTCTGCTTAAAATTCTCCCTCTCCCTTACCCCTTCTAAAAAAATTAAAAATTAAAATCAAAATAAACACACTTGTATTGGTCCTTATGTTCTGAAACTGCACCGTGGCATGGCGAGAGGCAGGAGGGGCAACACGACAAAGGAATGGACTTTGGCCTAAAGTGCTCGGTACACTACCTGGCATGTATTTGGTCTCAGTAAGTGTTGACTGATGCTTATCTCTATACCTGTTTTTCTTCTCTATGAAATGGCTTTGGTTCTGTTAGTTTTTATTGTATTTTGAAAATAAATGTACAGTGGTCTTATTGTGCTTTCTCTTCCTTAAGTAGAAGAGCTGCCCAGATGGGTATGTTGAATTTTTTTTAGTCCAATTTTTAATATCTAGGCAAAATATACGCAATATTTCCCTAAATGTTTCAAAAATACACTTTTAGAATTAATTTGTTCACATCAGAATCTAAACAAAAACTCCAAACATTGCATTATTGGTAAGTCTCTTAAGTCTTTCTCTCTTTAAAATTGTTAATAATTTAAGGTCAGATATATCCTGAAAATTGCATAAACTGTAAATGTACAGCTTGATGGATGGATCACAAGTGAAACTCATCCTTTTTACCACTCAGACCAAGAAATTAGTCATTGCCAGCTCCTCTGCAGCTCCCTCTTCTTGGGGCCTTCCAGGCACTAACTACCTTTCTCCTCCCCTACTACTCTCTGCCTTCTACCCCTAATGGTCTTGACTAGGGTGGAGCACAACACAGAGCTTGAACTCAGAACCCTGAGATCAAGACCTGAGCTGATATCAAGAGTCAGACACTTAACCAACAGAGCCACCCAGGCACCCAGGTGACTTTTAACATCATAAATTAGTTTTGCCCTTTTTTGAACTTAATAGGAATGAAATCATACAGTACATTTTTTTTTAAGTTTATTTAAGTAAGCTGTACACCCAGCATGGGACCAGAACTCATGACCCCAAGATTGAGTCACATGTTTTTCCAACTGAGCCAGCCCAGCACCCCACTGCACATTACTTTATGTCTGGCTTTTTTCTTTTTTTTACTCATCATCACTGTGTACAATTTAATGTAGTACTAACGCATTCCTTTTCGTTGCTATATGGTATTCCATTGTAAGACTAGCAATTCATTCTAGTGATATATGGATTATTGCCAGATTTTCTCCCTATTGCAAATAATGCCTTTTGAACTTTTTTTTAAGATTTTAGTGCTATATTTGAGAGAGCATGAGCAGGGAGGGAAGGGCAGAGGATAAGGAAGAAGCAGACTCCCCCTTGAGCAGGGATTCCATCCCAGGACCCTGGGATCATGACCTGAGCCAAAGGCAGACGCTTTATCGACTGAGCCACCCAGATACCCCACAGGAAACAAATGTGGTAAGACAAACCCTACTGCAGAATTTTTATCGAAATCTTTTTATGCATATTCAGATCCTACTCAGGTCACTTCAGATTTTA